GGTTTGCTATGGTCCATGGAACTTCTTCCAAACTCTTGTATTGTTAAAGCTCTGTGTTTATCTTCATGTCTGGAAGCTCTTCACCTCTTTGTGGCCACCTGTTACCAAGCTCTCATTTCTAACAAACTCATTCTTCAACCTTCCAAACAATGCCAGAACTGTGAAACTTTTTGTTATATTTACACCAAAAGGAAATACAAATATTTGAACTAATAGGGTGGGTGCATTCCATCATATCGCACACAACCTCAATTGTTACCTTGGGAGAAGGGCTAAGCTGTATTTACTTTGGGCTCCTGTGAGTGATATGAGCATGGATGATGTTTGCCATTTCAGTGAGCTCCGACCTGAGAGCCTCCAGCTAAACCGTTGGAGCTGTGTACAGTTTAGATACTGTAAAAATCTTGTTCATACTGCTAAAGTGGTGTATGTTGTACACCCTCTTCCCACTTCCTGTTGTTTATTTAATTGTGAAATATCTCCTTAATTGGTAGTGTCATTGGATTGACTTCCTCCATTCCTCGGGGGGGGGGGTCAGTAGAGGTTTCTTGCGTTTATTTTGAAGAACATTGTAAAACCGGAAGTTACTTTAAAAGACACCAATGTCTTAAATAACTTTATAAATCTTTTTTTATTTACATGTCCAACATGGTATGTTTTGTTTTAGCAATGTTGTGTTTTTCGAACTGTGTAGTTTAATATTTTTGTTGTAAACTACTGAGAAAATGTTTTTCCTGCATGAGTGTTCTGAAGACTTTAGCATTATGCTATCGGTTATATGGATAAATATTGAAATGTTATCAATTCCAGCTTTAAAGAACAAATTTAAAGGTAACATATCATGCTTTTAAATCCTTCTTTTTCATATCTAAATCATTCACTTATGGTCTATTTAAAATAAAACTGCAATGCTTTGGTCTTAATTCCTCATTTTTGTTGCTCCACAGACTCCTTGCTTTACCCCTGTTCTGAGTTGCACCTCAGAGCAAGCTGTTTTGGTGGGGTCTCTTTAAATGGATTATTTCGCGGATACCGTCATTTTTGTCTAGCGCAATGCATCATGGTCCCGTTTGGGGGCATACGCT